GGCTGCCAATCCGCGGTCTCCACCCGCGTGGTGGGGACTGGTCGGCGAGTGGAGGGCGTCGGGGGCGGGAGGGCGCGTCGGGCATCCCCGGTCGCGTCGGGGCGTCTCGCAGGGCGGGAATCAACCCCCCCTCCTCCTTCTCGCGTCGAAACGAATCGCGCGCCGTGGAAAGGCGATCCGACGCGACGCTGGGATTGAAAAAAAACGCAACCACGGAAATGAGCGGTCTGGAAAAACGCAGAAGAGGAAGGAATCAATCGAAACGGGATGCTGAGTGAGGAAATAGGGGGGAGATGAAGCGACATTGGAAAACCGTCACGCGTAAATCCTTACCTACCACCCGCCCCCTGTTCACCCCTCACACTGCTTTTTTTTTTTAATAGCTTGCCGAAAAACAATATTCCGAGCTCGTTTGTTTGATCATATAACTGACGTTAGGGCCAGCGAGAGATCAAAGCAGGAACAAACGGCTTATATCCTAATAACACTAACAACGATGCAAGAATAATCAAGAAAGAGGACTAATAGTAAGCAAGTAAACTACTGCATAAATATCACTGTTTGACAAATTAATAGTACTATTATATCGAAAGTACATAGTTTTTTTTGTATTTAACTGAATATTATCTTGTCCACATGAATGGATGAACAAACGAAAATGAAAAACTCTCCAAAAAAGGAGAGCCCCCCCCTCCCCCCCCCTGTCTGAGAGAGGGAGAGAGAAAAAAAAAAGAGCGCAGCAGCACCTGACGAAAAGCTAGTAGAGCAGTTCGAGGTAACCGTTTTGAATTACTCAATGCGGTAAACCATTGCTCGCACCTCTTTTCGCTTGTTGGTTTGCTTTCCACAAACTCCCGCGAAGCCATCAAGGGGTTTGGGTTGAAAAGAGTCAAGATCATGTAGCTAAACGCATTGGAGGGATCCCACTCGAATAAATACAAAGCTAAAAGCCCCAAAGGATCTTAAGCAAGCTGTGATGCTACAAAAAAGGTTCCTCGGTTGAATAGCTAAAGACTCTAATAGTGGTATCTCCGCATACAGGAAAAAACACTGTGAAAAGCATCTTTTCAGGTCACTCTAGGACTCCTCTGATTTTTTATTTCCCTCTGCGTACGATATGGTGGTGGTTTCCCCTTTTTTGAGGAAAGAGGAGGGCGAAGGGGCACCAAAAGCACACTTAGCAGGCTCACTTAGAGAGATAACTACACACGAGTGGACGACGGAGCATGTTCAAAAAATAGCCACAACAACCCAATTTATAATAATCAACACCTAAATATATGAAAACATATATGTCGATATGTATAAAAGCACCTCTTTGATGCTAGAAGATCAAGAAGATATCCAGTTAGAACACAAAAGGCGAAAAAAAAGAGAGGGAGGGGGGGTAAATCCTCAACGCCTATCAACATGCTCTCCAGAAATGAACGCATACTAACAGCCAATACATTTCACCTTTTGGCCTTTTACTATGTAGGGGCTCGACAAGGGATTGGCTACCGTTCCACAACGTTCATTAAGTTGCTTTTCTGAGAACCAGAAAACAGCAGTAATAATTTAAAGGAAGAAAACTACTTTAGATGCTACTGACGTTTTTAACATAACAACCAAAAAAAAAGCAGTAATAACGATGGATGCAATAAAAAGAGCATTGCGTAAAAAAAAATGGACTAAAACAAAACCAGGATATTTGTCATCACCCTTATAGCTTTTACTATCACAAGTGTCGTAATGCGATCAAGGTATGTCTCCTTTCATCTGCATGATTGTAATCTATTATGTCGCTTTTCTCTTACTTGCCTGCTAAGTAAAGAATTGCTCAGTATTTCCCACATCACACCACCTCTTTGTGAAACACGCCTCCATGATTTTCATCTTTCAATGGATATCTGTGTGTGTGTGTGTGTGTGTGTGTGTGTGTGTGTGTGTGTGTTTTTGGTCGACCCTCCTCCCCTTCTCTTCCTCATTTTCCGTCAAAAGTCCTCACGTGGCCTACGCGGCGTACCGGAAGACAATCTCGTTCGCCCCACTCATGTTGCGGACCAATATCTCGTTCTCAATCAGAGACTCCACCACGTTTTTGAACATCATACGGTTGAGTTCAAAGTGTTTGGAAAGGCGACCCTTGGCAAGCCTTAGGAGGTCCTCAGAAGAGGCCTCCCGTATTTCCTTCATAATGAGAACCACCACCCCCCTGGTGACGCTCACCCACGACTCCGGGGGCGCCCCCCTGCGCGTGCTCATCGCCGAGGCAGCGGACACGCGAGGAGGGGGAATGTCATAAGAAAACTCCACCCCTCCCTCACCCTTCCCTGCCTCCTCCACTGGGCAAAAGTCGTAATTCATCCGCACCCCCTCCTCCCCGGTTTCTTTAAGGGTGAACTCCTCCAACAGGCGATCCCGCCTCACGCAGGGGCGAAGGATCTCCCGCAGCCACCCCTCCTCCATCCCAGCGCGGCGCGCGAGGGTTCGATACCCCACCCCACCCCGTCGATACCCCGCCACGGCGAGAAAGAGCTGCTGGAGGAAAAGCGGGCCGTAAATCGTAACCTCCCCCCCGCCCCGTGGGTACCCTACCGTGAAGCGACTGAAGCACAGAAACGGGTAAAACCAACGCAGCTCGCGAGAACCCTTTGTGGCGGTGGTGAAATTCACTACATAGACTTGCATCCCCTGCCAGAGATCGCGCGGAAACGGGAGGGGGGCGTCTTCGCCCGCGGAAAGGGGGGTTTCCGCGAGGCCGATGGGCTCCCCGAGATCCCCCATGCGGAGGTGATCCCTCCCATCGAACCCCCACACCCGCCAATCGAGCTCACGAACGACAAGGCGGAGAGGAGTGGTAACCCCGGCAATTTGCCCGCCTTCTTTTTCTTCTTCCCCGACGTGAGCGTCAATGGCTTGGATCTTAAAGGAGGAAAACTGAGCCTCAATTTGCCGCATCGACTCACAACTTCCATTCATCCATCGCTTCATCTCCGAAAAGGCGAGCCCTTCGAACTCCCGCACGCGCGACTCGAAGACGCCGTCGGGGAGCGACACTGGGGGAGGGCGGTGCAGCAGACGCGCCCCCATCAATTCTGCGTAATTCGCGAGAAACGCCTCGTGATCCACTACGTGACCAACCAAACGAATGAACACGCAAAGCTCCCTGAGGTTGCGTAAACGAAGGCGAAGATCCCCCCCTCGCAGGCCCGTGCGCAGCGCCGGTCCATTCGCCCCCTCTCCTTCCGCCTCCTCCCGCTCGCGATCCTCGCCGCCGCCCTCGCAAAAGACGAGATATTCGTGAATCACACGAACGGCGACCTTGGCGAGGACGCGCGTGGCGACGGCAGGGAGCTCCCTTTCGACCACCCCTCGCACCGCGTGGTAGTAAAAGGGTGCGCACAGCCGCAACACCTCCACCCCCGGCTCATCCGGCGAAATCGAAAAAGCCCAACGCGACGCGGAAGCGGAACCGGACTCGGGCCGGGACGGCAACGCGCCTTCATCGGTCAACGCGAGATACCGCGCCCCGGTATGCAGGACGAAGCCCAAAAAGCGAATCCCCCACCCCCCCCCGACCCCGACCCGCCCCCCCCCCCCCGCCGCAGCCTTCCGCAGGCGCGGTGGGGCGTGGAAAGCCCTCCCGGACGGCCTCCCACACGGCCTCCTCCATCA